GGACACGGGTAATTTGTCTCTTCTAAGGAATTTGGAGATCCATTAAGGGGCAGGTGAACAGGAAGATAAGGGAAAAGGCCTCCTGGTGACAACTGGACCTGGGGTTTTTGCCTGCGAGTAAATTCTACCATGCCATCACACACACACACGGCAAACCCAGCTCACTCTTTCATCTTCAGCATTGCAACCAACTGGTAATACATCAGCAGCCCACCTCCCCTGGCTCTTGGCAGAGTTGAATGAATGTGTTTTGTGTTATTAGTTGTCCCAGGGACAATTACAGGCAGGGACTAGTCGAATTTGTCCTAAACTGTACTTAATAGAAATAGATGGTCATCATTAGAAACACTTCACCAGGGTGTTAATCATGGGACAAATGTGGAATAATGGCATCTTATTCACAGTATCCCACTAACCAGTCGCATACCCTCAAAAAGCATTTAGGACAAAACACGCTTTTTCAGAAAAAAAAAAAAATATCCTGACATAGAGGAAATTCTACTGTGGCTACATTAATCACAATAAATTGATATGGGGGTAAACCTGTGCTGTTGTTCATCTAGATGAATAGCCACTTTCTCGCTCCCCCTCCAACCTCCGTGTTCCTGTGCCCGGCCCTTTAAAGTGATTGAGGAAGGTTAGCCCAAGTCGCTGACGTGGATAACCTGCTGCATCTCTCTGGCAGCAAAATGCGTGGTATTTCTGCTGCTGTTGAACAGCTGTGCTCCAAATCCCTGACCTTGGCTTTCTTTTATCTCACTGCCACAGTCCTCCCGTTTTCTGTCGTAGTAAGTGTGTGTTTCGGCAGAATGAAACCACCAGTGAGCCCTATGATGACCCTTTATCTAGTCAAACAAAGGGTGAAATTTGTGTGCGGATGTCTGTGTATGCTTGTGTGAGAACCATCGAGCTCAGCAGATATGTCGTAAGATAAAATCGCTCCTCCAGCTGCTTGTGTTGTCTCTAAGTAAAGCTTTTGTGTTCACTTTAAATGTCTTTGGGCCTTTTCGTCCTAATGTAACACATTTCTAGCTGCTGGAGTCTTCCTTTGTTGGGACTAAGTGAATGACGGATTGGTGATTATTAGCGGTCGTGAGGGGTATATAAAGGAGGAAACAGATGAAAATAATGCTGTGTGATTTAGCCAGACTGACACTCTGAATTGATGATGACTCCCTGTTTAGCTTGCCACCAGTCTGTGGGTTTTGTTATCGGTCTAGGCAGCACCTCAAGTGCTTTTACAGCATTACTCAGCCAAAAGGTCCATAAATAAAGATCTTTTGCAAACTCCCAATAGTTATGGTTATGATGCAGGTTAAAATAACAATAAATGGGTGTTTAAAGTCTCAAAGTTTCTCTGGTGCCAGACTACATGAGTGCAGGGATTGTGAATTTTTTTGGCCTATTAACTGTCTGTAAGGGATCACATGAATCTTAGGAAACTTCATTATCCTAGCAGGGAAATTCATTTTGCACACTGTGTGACAATCAGGGCTTACCTCTGCTGTGTAGAGCAGATAGGTAAATTTAAAAATGAACGCCTTTTTATCTAAAAACTTGCATTCTCACTCCAACAACATGACTTCCACTACAAAATGCAAAGAACGGGAGGAAGATAGCATCTTCGTTCAGCCATCTGCGGCTCAGTCCCACTGCCATAAGCGGACTCCTCTTTGTCAGTAGCTGGTTGATTCAGTTAGATGCAACGTGGCTGGACTAAAAACTCACAAATATTTAGAAACATGCACAAGAAATCTAATCAAAAGCGAAGATATTATCAATAGAGTTTATATCTTAATCCATGCCTTTGAGTTGCTTTGCGGATTTGTTTACATTTAGTCATCATCTGCACAGTACTGATTCCCTAGTGTACTTCGACGATAATAGCTGTGCACCCTAATATTAGATTGGTGTGTTAAGGCCTACAGCCAGTGTTTTATGGTGCTATTGAAAAGATGCATTTTTTCTTCACCGCCTGTAGAGCTAATAGAATTTTCCACAGACAGTAAATAATGGAGCTGTCAAAATCTGAAGCCCAAAAGCTTGCCTGCTTGTGTATCACAGAACACTAAGTGAACAGCTAATAGTAAAAGTTGACGCATATTGTAGTGCAGTGACCTGAGGTATGATGTTCACATTTTGACATTAAAATTAAGTTGGTCACGTATGCTAATACTCCAAGGGCCTACTAACATCTCCAAGATGTTATTTAAGTTTTTTTTATTTTTTATTATCCAATATAATTTAATCTTTCTTATAAAGATTTTCCTTTTCTCAAAATTACCCAACTGTGTACTTTTAGCTTTCTTTGGTCTCCACCAACTCTTGAGGGAAATATCGGGCTGTTTAGCTGTTAAATACTTCACTACGTTCACAAGCAAGTCTCTAACTGTCGGCTGTTTGGTGCTAGACCGGCAGTGGATCAGAGCTTCTTTTTGATGAAAGCAGCTTTGTACAATGGGTGAAAACAAGGTTTATGAGAGCATTGAGACTCAACCAAACTGTACAGCTGTAAGCTGTAAAACAAAAACAAATAGCTAAAAAAAGTTAAAACACTGTGTGTAGTAGAAGGGTTTACATGTTGTGACAAACCCATAGAGAATGATCACTATGCAGTTCCTTTCAGCTTTACAGTCATTTGATCCATCATAAAATAAAAAAATATGGATTTGTGCTGCTTTGAGATATCATTACTTTGACCAACTAATTCCATATAATTTGACATTTAGTGTAATTTATTGAACGTATCACATTAGAAAGTTGGTTACAAATATGTCAAACACATAAATTAAAGCAGTGAATATATTAAATGACTCACAATTTGTGTACCCCAAATCCAAAAGGCACTATAGTGCACTATCCTACACCAAGTTTGAGAGTTCAGTACTTAATATAGAACAATTCATTATGCCAGCTGGAACACACTGTGGGACTGAGACTGTGGCAGGACTGGCCACAAGAAAAACTTGCACTCGGCAGCTCAAATGACACCTGGAACCTTGGGACCAGCTGACCTACATTCATATCACATGGGGGTAGAGCAAATGGAATTGAAGCGGTTGGTTAAACTCACTTTTCTGAATCAGAATCAGTTTTATTGGCCATGTATGTGTACACATACAAGGAATGTGTATTTTAACATTTCTCTCAATATACTTACACAGGAACAGACATAACAGCAGTCTTGTCTATTCTTCCCCTGTATTTATTAACTATGTTCAAAGGTATGTGAACAAATAGGTGTAGATATAAATATATAGCCTACAAAAGCCACCAACAACATAATAAACGGTCTAAACAGCTGTAAATAATACAAAAAAGGATTTGTATTGACAGTGACAGTGCATGATGATTAAAATGGTGCATTTGTGGCGCACTGTAATAATATTATCTATAACTGAAATAATTCTTGTGTCTGGTTGTTTTGGCGTACAGTGTTCTGCAGCTCCAGGGCAGAAGCTGGAACAGGTTGTGTCGAGGTCATGATGGTTCTGCCCGTTTCCTGACCCTGGACATGTATGAGTTCTGAATGAAGGGCCGGTTGGCACCAGTGATGATCTCTGCAGTCCTGGCTGTCCGCTGTAGTTCCTGTCATGTTTGGTGGCCGATCAAAACCAGACAGTGATGGATGTTTTCTCAGCCCATATTTGCAGAATCTATTTTGCTCTTATCAAGGTTATCTGGAAGATTGACATGACACTGCATGTTTATATCCTGCAGTAGTACATGTAGAGCAATACATTTCATGAACAACTGTGAGACTTGTGCACTTTGCAATGTAAGTCGCCTCAACACTGTCTGAGTTCTCCTAATGACATGAAACAAAAAACAGCAATGCTGGAAGCTCCATTAACTGTGCGGCCATACAGTCAGTCTGTTAGGGTTAAAGGATCTGAACTTATTTGTCACGCAGTTATACTCACTGTGGTGTTGGCACTCCTCCAGCAAGAGGGCTGGTGGTGGTGGAGGGGGCTGCTTGTTTCTACATAAAGTATAGTTACATATGAAACAAGACAAGGTGGAAGCCTAGCATATGGCTGCACAGTCAGTGTTAGCCTGAGGGCGTAATTGACGACTGTTCAGCTCATTCATTTTAAAAGAGCAATAACTTCATTCACTCAGTAAGTCAGGGACAGACTTCGCATTGAATGCTGCGGTCCAGCAGGAAATTGTTGCATAACAACTTTATGACATTCTCATAAAAAGAAACACCACTAATAGCTCAGTTAGAGAGTGTTCATTTGCTGCTATATATGCAGGCATGCGTGGTGCTTGATTAAGTCGCAGAAAGTCATGTTCCATTAAAGAGAAAGACAAACCCAACACATATAGCCAATTTGCCATGCAGTTTGTGAGTGTGGAATAAGCCTCTGCAGTTTGAAAAGGGCAATTACCACCAGAATACAGTGCAGAAGTCAAAGCTGACATTTTGATCCACTGCTGCGCAGCCCTAAACCTAACATCCCAGCCCTTTGATAGTCTGTGTGATACAGCACTTGGAGTGATTAAAATAATCAATAGATCACAGTTTAATGTGACACAGACAAGGTCTTCAGGCGGGGTGTTCTACAGGACAACTGATTCCAAAAGCACACTTTAATTATGACTTTGTCCCTGCATTTTATAATACTTGTTTAAAACTATTTAAAACGAATGATTGGAACGCTCAATTAAAAACGTTTAAGAGCCTAATTTGGTCTTCAAAAATAATCTTTTTTTTTCCTTTTTGTTTTACTTAATTCATTTTAAAAGTCATTACTGAAGCACTTGCCAAGATAAATCTTCCTCTTTTGTTTTGCATCCAGGAACAATTTTCGGATTTAATATTGTTTGTTTGGTTAATTGTCTTAGAGGGGAGAGACAGAGGGGAGA